CCGCGGGCGGCTCCGGGCCCTCGTCCAGCTCCAGCTCGTGGCTCTCCAGCCCCAGCCCTTTGCGCTTCAGCGTCTGCGGGGAGGTGCCGGTGAGCGGCTCCCCGCGGGCGCCGCGGCCCCGGGGCCGGCCCGGCCGCTACCTGGAGGATGTCGGAGTTGGTGCGGCTCTCGTGGGGCTCGCTGTACTCGGTGTACTTGAGCAGCACCTTGTCCATGTCGGTGCTGGCGTACTGGAAGAGGCGGTTGGCGCTGTTGAAGATGATGAGGGCGATCTCGCAGTCGCACAGCACGCTCAGCTCGTACGCCTTCTTCATCAGCCCGAATTTCCGCTTGGTGAAGGTCACCTGCCGGGCCGGCCGTGAGACCCCCCACCCCAAAAGCGGCGCCCGGGACCCCCGGACGCGCTCCCCGCGGGGTCCCGGCAGCGCGGGGGGGGTTCACTCCCGTCCTGCTCATCCCCAGCCAGCAGCCCCCCACCTGCCGGTTCCGCTGATCCAAAATCCGGCTGATCTGGATCTTTTTCCGGCCCATTTTCGCCTCCTCCGCTGGGTTCGGGGCTGGAAGAGAGCGAGAAGCGCCTGAGCCCCGCAGCCCTGGGGCTGTCCCCGCGCAGAGTCCGCCCCAGCGCCGCCAAAAATAAGTGGGGCCGCCGAAAAATAATCGATTTTCAGAGGAAGTTCGGTCATTTCTTCTTCCGCGATGATGGTGGCCAAGCGGAAAATGGGGGAAAATTGGGAAATTCTGCTGGGTTAGGGGAGGAAAAAATCCCCTTGGCCTTGCCCAAGCACCCCCATCCACCACTCCCGAGCACCTTTGGGTGACGGCCGTGATCCCAAACCCTCCAGGGGGATTTTGGGATCAGATTTTGGGATCAGAGCTCTTGCCCCAAAGCCGGGGGGTCGCTGCGAGGCCGCTCCAAAGCTGCTCACGGTGGGACGGGGAGGGCGTTTAAAGGGGGCCGGGCTGGCGGCGGGGAGGGTCCCTCAAACCCAAGGGTTGCTTTTAGCTTCCAATTCGGGGATTTTTATTTTTTTTTTAATTTTTTTGGGGTTTTTTTTCAAACTCCAGCAGACTAAATTTGACCTCCGCCACTCGCAGGCCAGGAAGTGGCTGCACGAGGAGACGGCGAAGTGAAACCACCCACCCGGCCCTGCTGCCACCGGGCAGGGACGCGGGGCTGGGACACCCCCGTGCCACCCTGGCTGTGGGTGCCAG